TGCAGAGGGGTCTCGGGGAGGAGATGAGCCAGTCAGGGTGCAATGTAACAACGATGAGAAATACAACTTTCCTCTAGTTCCTAAATGTTTCCTCCCCGCTCCCACTACCATGACTCAAATTCGACCTTGCAAGACTGGCTAGACCAGAGGAGGTACACTGGTACAGATAGGAACTGAAAATACAAGGAATCCAGGGCAGATGAGCCCTACAGGACCAGTGGTGTGAGTGGCGAAACAGGGAGAGTAAAGGGAGAATGGGTAGGAAAGAGGGAACCGATTACAAGGAACTATATGTGACCTCCTACCTGGGGGACAGACAACCGAAAAGTGGGTGAAGGGAAACGTAGGACAGGGCAAGTATGACAAAATACCAATTTATAAACTATCAAGGGCTCATGAGGGAGGGGCGAGCGGGGAGGGAGGGGAAAAATGAGGACCTAATGTCGGGGGTTTAAGTGGAGAGAAAATGTTTTGAGAATGATGTACAAATGCACTTTACACAATTGATGTGTGTATGGATTGTGATAACAGTTGTATGAGCCCTTAATAAAATGTTTAAAATAAATAAATAAATAACTACCACACTAAAAAAAAAAAAAAACATAGACATTTGGGGTATTCTGTTACGAAGCTCTTGATCTTATGCAATCCCTCCTCCAGCAGCAGTCCAGTGGGGGTGAAGGGGGCAGAGTGCCAGTTCATTTCTCCCAGCTTGGGGTTGTAGTCTAGGTTCCCCACATGGTTTTCACTGGCAGCCAATGAAGAAGAGGGTGACTTCTTGCTACCACCAGATGGAAGGAAGAGTTCAGGCTTCCACTGATGTGCTGTTCAAATAGCACCACTGGGCAGTAGTCAATATGCTGGCTGTCCACTCGGCCTCCCGTGACGCCACTCTACTTCAGCAGGAAAGAGGGCCTCCACCCAACCCGGGAAGGCTGAAAGCCCAGATCCCCCACAGTATCTCTACTAACATGTCTCCTTCCCTCCCAGTAGGGACAAAAGTCCTAACGCTACACTCTGACTTGGCTGACACCATCCCATCTAAGTTAAAGCCGAGGAGGGGAGCCTCAACTTCCCACCTGGCCTTTGCTGGCAGGGAAGGGAGTAGGCACACCTGTTCTGAGGGGGCTTGCCTAGTGTAGAGCAATTATAATGTAAAAGGCTTGCCAAGCTGATCTTTCCTTTGTTCTTTGGCAAAAAAGAACAGGTTCTCTCCTTGGTTATTCTCTCCCCCTCTCTCCCTCAATCCCCCACGCCCATTGTGTGTGTGTGTGTGTGTGTGTGTGTGTGTGTGTGTGTGTGTGTGTGTTAGCTTTTTATTTGTTTGTCTTTGTTGGCATCTATTGGCTTTTCCACATTGCCAGTTTCTCTCACATTCGGTCTGGAATATATGAGGAAAAAGAAAACAATTCACTGTTGTATAGTTCTTTGGGTTCCAAGATCACTAGCCAATCTTCCTTCTTCTCATAACTTTTTAGACTCTTATGTTTATTTGCCATATAATGTCCATCACGTTTAGCTGAACTTAATAAAAGCAATAGGATAACATAGTCTATTCAATTTTTCCAAAAGTAAAATCTAGCATGCTCTACTTTGATATCACTAAAGACACTAAGTAATATTTTGCAGCACTCTATATAAAGGATAAATATTTATAAATCCAGTCCAATCCACTATTTTCTCAATGAGCGACACCTAAATAATGATGCTTCTATGCTCCCAATGAAAGCACGGGTTTTTTCATATAGCATTTTACTTAGGCGTTTAAGGGAAAAGTATCAACGTACTCAATTTGAACAATTCCTGCAAATTTACATTCATATTTTAGCATTTTCAGATGCAGAACAGAAAAACTTGCATTTTTACAATGTCAAGTCAACTTAACAATTCTGCCTATCAAGCATCAAGATAAAGTGGGATGTTATTTGGGTTTTAATATGGTAAGACCCTTGACATGATAAAGTGTGATAGGTTTATACAGTACATGGCACCTCTTTCAACAGTGGCTTGACATCTTATGCTAGTCAAACATCCTGTTTCCATGTAGTAGTAATATGTTTGGCTAACAGAGTCAACCCATCAACCACGCTCCGCCTGTAAACATCATCCACGCATCCTCAACCCACCCACACACGCACACATCCTCAACCCACCCACACATGCACACAATTCACTGGCTCCACGCACAAACCAGAAGAGCTAACTAAGCCATAGAGGGTCCAACTTGGGTATTAATAACCTGATATTCGAGCTAGCGTTTCCCTTAATCTTTGTTTCATTTTATTTTGACATAATTATAAATACACAAGAAGTTATAAAAACATTAGTCCTATATGCTCTTCCCTCAGTTTGCCCCAATAATGGCAAACTTTATATAGCTAAAGTATAATATCTGAATAAAACCAGAAAAAATGACATTACTGTTAACCACTCTATAGATTCTTCTATCCTTTTAATAGATGCATAAGACCATAATGTTTCTCATAAACTCTCTTGCCCCGAGGGTATCTTAATACCAGTAAAACTACCAGTTCAGATGTCTATCTCAACTGCACATTACTAATATAAAAACTGATGTACACAAAACATACATTAGTCCATATATTCATACTGCACACACACACAAATACATAAGCTAGCACTCACATATGCCCAAACTTTTTTTTTAATTAACAATTTTATTGGGGACATGTACAGCTCTTATAACAACCCATAAATCAATTGTATCAAGCACATTTGTACATACGTTGCCATCATCATTTTCAGAACACTTTCTTTCTACTTGAGCCCTTGGTATCAGCTCCTCTTTTTTTTCCCTCCCTCTCTCCCCCACACCCCACACCTTTGTGATCACTTGATAAATTACAATTTATAATTTTTATATCTTACTCCGTCCCCGAGGGGGACACCTTCCCCTCTCTCCCATATCCTTATCATATTGCTACCCCCATTACTGTTCCTGAGAGGTGTATCTGTCTTTGATTCCATGTGACAAGAGCTCTAATCTGTACCAGTGTACATGCTCTTGTCTAGCAGATTTGTAAGGTAAAAATGGGGTCATGACAGTTGGGGGGAGGAAGCACTAAAGAACTAGAGGAATGTTATGTGCTTCATCAATGCTATACTGTACCCTGGCTGACTCGTCCCTTCCTTGTGACCCTTCTGTGAGGGGATGTCCAATGTCTACAGATGGGCTTCGGGTCTCCACTTTGAGCCCCGTCCTTCGCATCAATGTTTGTTTGTTTTGGGTTTTCTGATGCCTGTTACCTGATCCCCTCGACACCTCATGATCACACAGGCTGATGTGTTTCTTCCATGTGGGCTTTGTTGCTTCCCTGCTTGATGGTCACTTGGTTAACTTCAAGCCTTTAAGACCCCAGGTGCTATATCTTCTAATTGCTGGGCACCATTAGCTTTCGTTACCACATTTGCTTATGAACCCATTTTGATTCCAGGGATCATGTCGCATATGCCCAAACTTAAATAAACAGACCAGCACCCTATATTCGTCATCCCACCGGAGTTTTAGTAATTTGTATCATTCCCTAATTTCCATATGAACACTAGTTATAAATGAATCTGAGTTTAGATGAACTCCTAAAATGTAACCTAATTTAAAAATCCATTCAAAGCTTGAATTTCCTTTGTAACATCCCCATCAGTGGTTCTCAGCCTTTCTTTGAGTACTTCTAGTGGCAATCAACAATCAATATCTAAAGGACTCCATCTCTACTCTATCTTAATTTTTGACACATATTTCCAAAAGTCAAAATGGGTTTCTATGAACCATCTACTCATTTCATTCTAGTTGTATTTTGTAATAACATTAATAAACAAGTTTCACCCCTTACTATGTTTTCCAAAAAAAACCATACATCCCAAATTGTCCAAAATAATCTTGGTTTGCACATAATGTTCTAACATCAATAACATCACCATATATCCTCAAAGTACCTTAATTTAACTGATATAACCCCTCTATTAAGAATAACCCTTCGATATCTGATGTTCCGGCATGTTAATCATCCCCTATTTTCACCTGTTATTCCTATGACATAATTTTGAGGACCTTCATTAGCCATATCATTCGTGCTTCTGAATACATACTAGCTTATCTATATTCTAAGAGTCCTAATGCTTACATTTCTTGTTGCATGTCTACATTAGCAATGGGCTTTATCATCCCAAAGAGCATTGGGTAGGGGAGGAGGATTGTGATATTTTGGAAAATGCACACTTTGGGGAGTCAAAAAAGATCTAGGTATGCATTCCAAGCATGCGGGTAGTACCATGGTGAAGCACTCTGCTGCTAGCCAATAGGTTGTCTGTTGAACCCACTCGGTGGCTCCAAAGGAGAAAGACCTGGCAATTTGATCCTGTAAAGATGACAGCCTAGAAGACCCGTCAGGGCAATCCTACTGTCATGTGGGGTCACTATGAGTCGAAATGCACAGGATGACACCTTAACAATAACCCTCAATTTGCAAAGTGACTTCTGGGCAAGTTACCTAATCTGCTGTAAACATCCCTCTCTCAACCGAGATGCAAATAACAGAGTTACAGGAAGGAGTACGTACCTCCTAAGAGTCCTGTAGCAGAGAAGGTGTTCAGTGGCAGTGGTAGTTATTAGGACACTGCCACTTTCCTTTTGACCATTGGAATGACTAAACCAGCTAATGCCCATCAACAGCTGACACACAAGTTTAGGGAACACAAAGTGCATCTTCACCCTGATATAACACTTTTGAAAACTAAGGCCCCTCTGAACACCAGCAAATAAGCACCTTCTCCTTTAGCACAAATATATTTTGCATGACCTTACATGAATTGCTCAGATGAAAGCTTTTCCTCCTCTGCTTTTGTTATTTTAAAGTGCAGATGCATCTGAGTCATTTTCTCCTTTTGTTTCATATCCTTAAGATCCAAAGCTTCAAAGACAGAATGTCAGCAGCATGCAGTCGATTTATGACTGAACTCTTGAAGAGACACTGAAGAATTACCTTGTCAATCACCCCAAGGACTCTGAAGGCCTTCAGCTCCTCGGCAGGGCTCCTTAGGTTCCAAGGGGGCCTTGAACTTAGTGATCCTGGAGGCTAATGGAAGATATCAAAGATTATACATCAATCAGGGAGGTACTTGAAGGAAGACTGCCTGCTGCAGCAAATGCCAGGCCAAAGGAAACTAAATTTATCATAAATCAGAGTGGAAAGATGAAAGGAGGAAGTTTCTGTTTGTCTATAATATAAAATCAAAATAAAAGAAAGAAAATCAAAAGGAAGAAGCAGGGGAAAAAATTCTAAGAGTTGCAAGTAAATAAATCACAGGATTGAACACAAAATTTTAAAAAGAAAAATTAATGAGCTAATATTTCTTTTAGAGAAAAAATTCAATGCAGAACAGTACAGCTATTATGAACTTGGAAACAAATGAGTAACTAGGCCAATAATCAACCACAGCCTTACATTTACTCCAGAAACTCAAGAGTCCTTTGGAATAGGAAGCACTAGAAAAAAAGACAATGTAATAAGGAAAAATATGGTGGGAGGGAAACAAGCAATCCTCCAGCATGAAATTATAGACCTCCAAGGTTACTTTATAAATAAACACTGTTGTAAGAATTGGCTAATTCAAGTTCATCTCAAAGAATGACCAACAAGGGTGAAAATTTCAGAAACTCCATCATATATTGAATAATTAATAGGGCTGAAGCTGCTTAAGCCTAGAAATTGGATAATTTATAGAAGAAAATTTTCAATGTTGAAAGAAATTTGAACATTTGTGGTATGAAAAACATATTCTCTGTGGCAGTTACATAATCTCCTGTCAACTTGTGGTGGAGTGGCATCTAGCCTGTCAATCAGCTCATAGCCAGTGAGGCTTCTGAATAGCCATGGCCTTCCCCTGAGGATTCGGGGAACTCCTGTCTTCCTCCCTGGAGGTGGGAGACACTATACTTCGTCTTCCTGCCGACAAGACACACAGAGCTACGTTAGAGCCCTGGAGCTGGAGGAGCCATGTGGAGATCTGAGCTGCTTCCACTGCCCCTGGATTCACAAGATTTTCCACGCACTGGCCTGTGATCTTCCTGCATTCACCGTCATTTCATGTTTTGCGTGAGTCTGAAGAGGAATTTACAGATTGATATCCGACATAATAAGGGCTAATATCGGACTTATGGACTTGACCTGGACTGAGCTGGGATGCTTTAATATGCAATTACTCTTTATATAAAGTTCTTTCTTATACACACAAGTGTCTATAAATTTGCTTTTCTAGTCAACCCGGATTAATATTCTCTTAGCTCAAAAAAAAAAGAAGGACCAAAGGAAAGAGAAGAGACATTTTAGAACCACACACAATAAAAGAATGGCCCTAACTTCTTATCCACTAGGCACAGTTTCTACCAGCAAAATAGACAGGAAACCAGATCAACTCTATGGATACCTCCATTTGGCACTTACAACCAGGAAGCAGTGCTAAGAGTAACCCTTATATTAAAATGATGATTCTACAAATTATTATTTTTTAATTCACTGCCATTGAATTAATTCTGACCCATGGTGATCCTATAGGGCAGAGTAGAACTGTCCTCAGGTTTCTAAGACTAACTCTTTATGGGAGTGGAAAGCCTCCTTATTCTTCCCTCGGAGTGCCTGGCTGACTATGTGAACTGCTGACTGTGGGTTCACAGGCCCCCCCAAATCCTATTATATTCTTAAAACAGATCTTTTTGTTGTCAAAAACCTATCACAATATATAGGAAACATTTTTGCCCAAAAGGGTGGCAGATAAATAGAACTCAATCGATCAAATGGTTAACAGCAGTTAATTCAAGATCATATTTCAATACATTAAGTCCTAGTGCCAACTGACACCATCAGGCAGAGAACTAGCACCTTGAGAACGGTAAACGTGCCCTACTCAGCTTTACATTCACAGTGCCTCTTGTGATAGTCCGGCTTTGCGTCAACTTGGGTGGGCCATGATTCTCCCATGGTATGCTCTAACAATGTGCTCAGCTTCACTAGGAGATCTTCTGGGAAGCGGACAAGCAGTTTGAGGAAGAATAAAATGCCACCTCCTTAATCACAGTCTTTAGACAATTAAGGAAAGTTTCACGTGGGGTGAGTCCTTCTCTTAGTATAGACTGACACTGTGCAGAAGCTAGCTCACTGCTACTGCGAGATCTGGATCCTGCAACTAGTCTGCTGGCTTTCTGTTATATGGCCATCAGCAGACTGTCAACCTCAGATTCACGCAGCTCTGCATCCACCAGTGGGTGATCTTCCTGCTTCATCTTCGTTTCCCGTTTATCAGCTCCTGAAACTAGAGTCTAAAAATGCCTCCAGCATACATCTGACCCACGGACTTGAACTAGACTGGACTTACCCACTTCCACAACTGTGAGTCACTTCTTGATATAAATCTCTTGCTGTATATACATGCACACACACACAGACACAAAGAGTCCCCGGTTTTGCTTCTCTTGAAAACCCTACTTAATATACCCAATATGTTACTAGTGTTCACTTAGTTAGAAGGAAGCTGAGGGGACCAAGAGAGAAGGGAAACAAGGGTTTATATTAATTAGGTATGATAGTGTTGACAGTGGTGGCTAGACTGGACAGTAATGCTTTTTAAAGAACTGATTGGGACCTCTGGTATAAGTTTTTAAAAAGTACTTATTTAGTATCTCACGTCATGAGGTATTGTACTAGATACCTCACATAACAGATATATATCTGTCTCCTTGAAGGTTTAAAGTCTAAGGAGAATATTTAAATCTATTCAAACTATTTTAAGTTATCCATATAAACAGACAACAAAAATAGTACTTTCCAATTGATTTCTTAGAAAACATTCTCTGAAACCCAGGATTGATAAACCAACCTATAAAGACAGCAAGTTTCCTAAGGTTCCGGGGTGAGGGGGTCAGAGTGGGGGAGAAGGGATGAAAGGAAACTAGTACCAAGGAGTTCAAGAGGATGAGAGTATTCTGAAACTGATTGTGGTAGCAATTGTACAATACTGCTCAATGTGACTGAACTATGGAATGATATTATGTGTATTACCTCCCAATAAAATGGTTTTGGAAAATAAAAAATTCTCTGCCAAACCTTAGTGGTGTATACTCCCAATCCATCTCTCACACCCACAAGCCTGTGGTTCTACCTATGCAGTAACTGGAAGATCGTGGTTATTGCAGAAATGTGTACATAACAGTGTCGACCTCTGTTACCTGTAACTCTTATACTCTTCCCAGTGTCGCCCTCTGCTGCCTCCATCATTTTTTGCCAACCTCCCATTTAGTGTATATGTCTGCCCTCTAGCCAGTGACTTACCCTTCTTTGCCCTCTAACCCCTAATAGCCATCAAAGAATGTTTGTTTGAGTGTGGAAACATTACTAGACTTTTTCCAGTAGTGGTCTCATACAATACATGTCCTTTGGTGACTGACTAATTTGACTTAGTATAATGGCCTCCAGATTCACCAAAGCTATGAGGTGTTTCACAGATTCATCATTATTCTTTTACACTGGGCAGTATTCCACTGTATGTACGCACCGTCTGATTATCCCTCTTCCAACTGATTGCTGCTGAGTCTTAGGGTCCCTATGTATAATAGAACAAAACACTGGCTGGTCCTTTACTAGCCTTGTAATTGCTCCTGTGTTTGAGCCCATTATTGCAACTACTATGTCATCCATCCATCTCATTGCAGACCCTCTACTCTAGCAAATATGATGAACTTCTCCAGGGACTGACCCCTCCTTACATTAAGTAAAACAAAGTCTCACTATCCTTGCTTCTAAGGAGAATTCTGGTTGTACTTCTAAGACAGATTTTCTTGTTCTTCTGGAAGTCCATGGTAATTTCAATAGTCTTCACTAAAACCATACTTTAAATACATCAATTTTCCCCCAGCTGATTAATGTATATTATCCCATTTTCCCTTGCCTAAGTATAGAATTTAACAGATGTTATTATAATACTCCTTTTACAGATAAAGAAAGAAGTTCAAAATGATGAGTGTTGTTTGTCACAAAGAGAACCCATGAAAAACTCCTCACTAGAATGCCAACTCCTTACTCTGGGGCTTGTATTAAAGAAAAGTTGGGGGGCAGTTATAGAATAAGAAGCCTTTAAATGATATTTTATCCGTTATATGTCTTTGAAACTATGACCAAATATGTCTACTATCTCCATCTCCCACTTTATTTATTCTAGGCCAAAAGTTACCCTTCCAACTTGCTAATATAATTGAATCTTTCAGTTCTTAATTAAAATTTTAAAATCTTATTAGCTCACTTTATTAGTTTCAATAGAAAAGAAATAAAATTCCAAAAGCTGTTAAGGTACGCTTCAACAAAGAACCACTACATATCGACTCTGGGTATAATAGTGCAAAGGTTGCTCGCCATCAAAAGTCATAGTCTCTGGCCTCAAGAACTGTACTACTGGAAGCAGTCAGCCAGATATATGAAAAGCTAACATTCTTCCTTTCGATGCAGGACAGTACATAAGTCACTTGTTAGTAGATAATAGACTATTCTCAAAAAGAAGAACTAAAGGTATCTTCACGCATTACGAGAAAATCAGGTTAGACACTGGATACTTTATACTTATATAATGGGCTGGACACTGACCTGAAAGGAGAAAATGTCCAAACTGGAAAACAGAAAAAACACACTTAGGGTCAGTCAAATTTCACGGGTCTTAGATGCCAGGAAGAAAAGTCTAGACTATATTCTCCAGAGTGTAGACAAAGTTTTACACAAGAAAGAACCCAATGGTTTAGAAAGGTTAGAAGGGAATCGTAAAACCGTAATGGGGCAAGACCAAAGGCAGAGTCATCATTTAAGTTCTTTTTCTACTTTAACCAAACCAAAAAAGTACAAGATCAGAGAAATGAACAAAGAAAGATCATGAAATAAAATCAATACAAAGTCCTAGCTTTCTTATATGCACATTTTAAATGAGTAGAATCCTATAGACCTATTCTTCTTTCCAGAAGGCAAAAGGAAACATAAGTCCCCAGAATTCTACAGCTTAAAGAGACTTTAGAGACCACATATGACATTCTCTTTGTCCC